TAATGAAAGTTATACAAGAGTTCAGGTCTTTCATTCTTAGGGTTGCTATGAGTCGTCTACAACGCAACTACACTTAACAACATCATCATTCAATAGTGAAACTCCAGGCTTGAATTTTTCTTTAGTTCCTTCATCTTAAAAAATATTGAGTTCAACCATTTTGATGACCTGACTCTAGCTCTTTGCACATTTCATTATCATACTTTGCTTTGTCTTCCTGTGCTGCCCTTTGAACTCTTCTGTTCAGCTCCTTAACTTCTTGATATCTGCCCTTTGCTTTGGCTTCTTGGTGCTCTAGTGCAATATTCAGAGTCTCCTCTGCATAATAACATTGAAAAAAATTTAAAAAAGCACAGAGAGGTAAATTGCTTACTACATACATCTCAACATTAAGAAATCAAAGGTCCTCATCACAATGTCAATAAGCAACATTATGACAGATGGAGAAAAGATTGAAATGGTCAATGATTTTATCTTACTTGGATCAACAGTCAACACCCTTAGTACCAGCAGCCAGATGAGATGACATATTGCATTGGGTAAGTCTGCTGTCAGGGACCTCTCCGAATTACTGAGGAGGAATGATGTCAGTTTGAAGACTAAAATGTGCCTGATTTAGGTCATGGTCTTTTAGATCACTTCCTATGCACTTAAGAGCTAGAGGTGAATACGGATAAAGGAAGAGAATTGATGCCTTTGAGCCGTGGTGTTAGAGAGGAGTACTGAATACCCCATGGACTTCCAAAAGAACAATCTGACTGCTGGTGTCAAGAGTGATGATTGTGGAGTCGAGCACGCTATAATTGTTAACAACCACAATCTCTTCTCCATCTATCACGGTGCTGCCAGTTGGCACAGTGGCGAGAATCGTTGTCTCTTGATGTTGAGCTTCAATCCATATTGAAGACTACAGTCCTTGACCTTCTGCAACAAGTGCCTCAGGTCCTCCTCAGTTTCAGCAAGCAGGGTTGTGTCATCTGCATAATGTAGATTGTTGATGAGTCTTCCTCCAATCCTGATGCCACATTCCTCCTCATAAAGCCCAACTTCCCAAATAATCTAGTCTGCATATTGATTGAAAAGGTATAGAGACAGCACAAAGTTTCTGAAAACCCACTGGAGGGTCAGTTATGAGTTGGTTCTGACATAACAACAACCACCTCTCAAAGACACTGTGCTGCCTTGTGTTGTGGAGACTAATGAGAGTCAGAGTTTAGTGGCAGATCGGCTGCCATGCCCTCACCATCCTGGCCTTTGTGCCAATTCTCTTGGGAACAAACACACAAGAGTCCAACACACAAATAAGTGCTCCCAGTTGGAGAGAAGTTAGATCTTTCTATCTTCCCTCCACAAGATAATCTTCCAAGACTCTGTCTTTAAGAAGCTAGCTGGCTTCATATGTGTTTGTGTTTTTCTCACTTCCATCCTGAGAAATAAGAATTGAGCAAAAGCAAAAGCTGAAGGTGACAAGCTTAGAGGACAAAAGACTGTTTGCTTCTGCCAGTTGAGCTTCCTGCTGACATCAAACAAAATGATGAAAGATAAAGAACATTAGAATGAGGGAGGGTGGGCAGAGCTGTGATCCCAGTCTCTCAGGACTCCTCTGTGAATCTGATTTCACAAGATGCTTCCCAATTGAGGTAGTCCCACTAGGACTTGCCCAGTAGCTCAGGGTGTTTCTACACAATCCTCACAGCAAATCTGCAATTACTTCTGTTATTTATCATTTAGAGATGAAAACTTGAAACACAAGAGGGGTTGGGGGGAGACTGAGAAAGATGGGTTAAATAATGTATACTGCATTGAAACAGATGAGAGAGA